CAAATCACAGTGCCAATTCGATCAAGCAAACAACAGTACTTGGAGCCCTCAAATCTCGAGATTTGGACAGCGGACTAGGATCCAAGCAAACATATATAGATTCCAACCGATACAAAGCACCCCCCCCCCCACACACTTAAGCACGACATTGCCCTCAATGGAGCAGAGGGAAATAGAAGGGGAACGATGTTACCAGATGGAAAGACTGTCGGGACTGTCGGGGGACTGGAAGTGAACCAGTCAGCTGGGCTAGCATCAGCAAAACACACTGGGCGATAGAAACAATAGTTCCAAGTGGACAAACCAAAAAACAAACGAAAGAAAAACAAACCTTGGTGGGGTTGCCTCCCCACAAGTGCTTCTTTACCGTCTTTTAGTTGGACGCCAGTAGGGTGGATGCTCAGAGAGGTGAAGGAACAGGTGCCTCCAAGAGCGGATCCACATCGCTCTTGAGGTACAGCTTCAGGTGGTGGCCATGCACACGACGAATGTGGCCACCAGCACTCGTCAACTCGACTTGGCCATCCGGCAGGATGCAAGCGAGTGAATACTCGGATGGCCAAGGCGGTCGAGGCTCAGGAGGCGGGACCAACTCATAGTGGTCTCCGGTTTTCTTGTGAGCAGGCTTAGCTACCTGCAGCATCGCTCCTCCTTGATCTTGTCTTTTGGTAACAGAGTGGATGGGAGTGGCGGCGAAGATATGTGAGAGGGATCCTGCAAAATGGGAAGCACAGAAGGATACACGATAGACTCGTGCTCCTGGTGAGAAACAGCATGCAGAGGTGATGAAGCAGGGAGAGTATTAGCAATGGAAAAGGTATTCGCTCCTCGCCATCCCTCAAGACTAAGGTCCCATCATGTACATCTATGAGAGCCTTGGCGGTCAGGAAAGGCCTTCCCAGTATAAGGGGCACTTCTGTGTCCTCATTGATGTCCAAGACAACAAAATCCACAGGATAAAAGAATCTGCCAACCTTAACCGGCCAGAAGGTCTTCCACTATGCCCCTAGGATGAACTATAGATCGGTCAGCTAATTGAAGACTCATCCTAGTTGCACTGGGTTCACCTAGGCCTAGTTTCTTGAACAATTTATATGGCATGACATTGATACTAGCACCTAGATCCACCAAGGACCTCTCTACATGCAATTTACCTATAGAGCACGGGATAGTAAAACTACCTGGATCCTTCTGCTTCGACGGAAGCTTGTTCTGCAGAATGGCCGAGCACTCCTCGCGGAGCTCCACAGTGGCCAGCTCACTCAGCTTCTGCTTCTTTGAGAGAAGATTTTTCAGGAACTTCGCATACTTCGGCATTTGAGATAGTGCTTCCAGGAAGGGCACTTGGACATTCAGTTTCCTAAGCATGGTCATGAAGTTCCCGAACTCTGCCTCTAGCCTGTCTTTGTGCAGCCGATTGGGATAGGGGAGTTGAGGGATATACTCCTTCACTACTGGTTGCGGCTTAGGCGCAAGCACCTCAACCTCCTTTTCCACTTCTTCTTCAACAGCTGGAGATGCCGAGGCAGGTCTACCTCCCGCTTGTCTGGCCAGGATAGGTGAGTCTGCAGTCACTTTGCCGCTCCTTGTTGTGATGGCATTACAGTGGGCATTCGGGTCCTTCGGATTAGGAATGGTATGACCTGGCAAGGTACCTGGAGCCCTCTGCGCCACTGCTTGAGCCACACTCCCAAGCTGGGTTTGGATATCATGCAAGACAGCCTGTGTGTTCCTCTGGCCAGCTTCAAGAGCCAGGAATTTGCCTGAGCTCTTTTTCGTGAACTGCTTGATAGTATTGAATTTCTGAGCACTAAAAATTGCAAGAGAACCCACCAAGTCCCGCAGTTCAGCTATCGGATCATTCTGCACTGGGGTTGCAGGGGCTGCACTTGGCTGCTGGAAGGGTCGCGGCTATGGTTGAGCAGCATGCCCCTGCATGGGCTCGTAGAGAGACTGCTGCTGCTGCTAGAATTGCCCCTGTCTGGGCTGATATGGCGGCCTCTGGAAGCCTGGTAGTCCTTGGGAGGCTGGTGGTCTAGGATTGGCCCCAGCCCAGGAGAAGTTGGGATGTTGGCGCCACCCCTTATTGTACGTTTTACTGTAGGGGTCATTGCGCCTAGCATTATTGATGAAGTTAACCTGCTCCTGGGGTGTAGTCGACTCCCTCATCGCCTGGCAGTCTTCCACAGTGTGATGGGTGCTCTCGCTCCATTGGCAGTGCATCGCCTGCTGGTGTCCGGTCCCTGGAATCATTCCAGATCGATCGATGGCTGAAACAAGCTTCGATACCACCTGCACCAAATCAGATGACTGGGTGGCTACAGCATGCACACCCCGCCCTGGTGCTCGTCTCGATCTCCTCGCAGTTCCCCAATCATAGCCTTGCTCTGCCATCTCTTCAAAAAGTTGATTCAGCTATGGCGGTGTTTTGGTGAGCATATTCCCGCCACAGACCGAGTTAATAAGTTGCTTGTCTTCCGGGAAGAGGGCATGGTAGAAAGTGCCCACCTTGAAGGCGTCGGTAAAACCATGGTTGGGACACTTGAGGAAGAGACTGGTGTATCTCTCCCAAGCATCACGGATGGTCTCATCTTCATCCTGAGCAAAGTGGGTAATGTGCTTCTGCAGGTCCGCCGTCTTGGACGGGGGATGGTAGCGAGTGAGGAACTTGTCCGCCAGGTTGGCGAACGTGGTGATCGAGCCTAGAGGTCGAGTGTCTAGCCACTCCTTGGCCTGCCCCTCCAGAGTAAATGGGAAGTACCTCAGCTGGATGGCATCGGCTGGGACTCCATTTATCTTGATTCCATCGATGAGCTCGTGGAATCGCCTAAGATGTGATCAGGGGCACTCCCCCTCTTTGCCACGGAATACTACCGAGCCGCGCAACATAGTGATGACCGAGGTGCTAACCTCAAAGTTGTTGGCTGGGACTTGAGGGTGCTGAATGGGCGACCTCATGTCCGCGACTCTGGCGGTCCGGTAGTACCCCATGGTTTGCTCCTCGGGAAGGACCACATCATGGTTCTGTGGGTCCCCCATCTCTTCTTCCTCCGTGATTTGCAGCTGTGCTAAGGCCTCCTCCGCAGCCAGTCGCGCCTTTAGAGCCCGCTTGAAGTTCCTACAGGTCTGTTCAAGATCATGGTCTAATGGTAGTAGTTCTCCCGACTGGCTACGGGTCATGCACTACCTGCACACAACCAGCAAAAGCAACCCGTGAGGGCACCCAGGTGGAAGAGAGAAAATGTAAAGAAAAACTAGAGTAACAAACTTCACGTTTCCCCAATAACCTAGAGGGTCCCCGGCAATGGCGCCAAAAACTTGACACGCTAAAACACAACACCAAATTGCAACCAAGTGTAATCGCAGTCCGGAAATGCAGTAACAGGCAAGTTTTAATGTCAACCCGGGGTCTAGATCTACTGCGTACTTTGTGAATATCTATCATCTAGCCAACTAAGTCAAGTGATTGTTGATTTAAGTAAAAGCAGTAAGAAAGAAGGAAATGGTTCGGTTTTATGAAGTAAAGGAAGAGTCACTCGGGAATGAGTCCCCCCTAGCTCCTTAGTTAGGTCTCAGTTGTAATTACCCTGGGTTGATTTACTGTTGATTAAACTGCGGAAGATCCAACAGTAGCTTGGAATCTCTTAAGCTGACCAAGCCCTCTCAGTCCAACTACCCGGAAGACGTCTAGTCTTCACCGGGATAGAAAGCTGACAATCTATCACTACCGAATGATGAAGATCTAACAACCTAATCAGATTCTATCTATCTCAGGTTGCAGCAAAAATCAAGAAAAGATTATCAGACTTCAATTGATTCAACAAATCATGCATCATTCGATTAAAATAAACAGTATAACAATGCCAAGTCATTACAATCAAGATCCCTAACACATGGAACTAGGGTTCTTCATACCCAAGTGAGAGAAGGTCTACTCCATAGAGAGAGAGGGAAACAGAATACAAATCGGTCATACTCATAACGATGGGAAGAATCTGTTATGGGATGATGATATTCACTCCAAGGATGATTTCCAAGCTTGATTTATGAAACCCAGCTCCAAAACCACTTTAGGGGGTGTTCTTCGCACTTTCTCTCTCGAGGGCTCTGTTTTTGCTCCAAAAAGTCGATCCCCTCTCCTTTGGATCGAAATTGGGTTAAAACCCTGAAATTCCCGACCACACGGGCAGGCCATACGGCCGTGTGACTTTCCCAGCTGCCCGTGTGAGTGTGCAAAACGCGGGGTTTCGATTAAGTGGGTTCGGGTTCGCTACACGGCCAAAACCACATGGCCGTGTGAGTTTCCAGGATGCCCGTGTGAAATTCATCGAGCCTTCACACGGCCACATGGGTTTCCTTACACGGCTAGTGTGGCCTGCCCGTGCAATTTGGTGTCACACGGCCAGTTCACACGGCCGTGTGGGATTTTAGGCATGCCCGTGTGGCTTCCTCAGATTCTCGCCAAACGTCCAATCTTCGTCCAATCGACCCTGTACTCGTTCCCAAACCTTCATTCACATACTAGGGCCTGAAATATCACAAACAAGAACAACCTAGCGTGAAATCGGCCTAAAATACGAGAAATAAGACTCAAACGGTATAAGAATGGTGGACAAAAACATGTGTATATATCAAGTCATCACAGGGTGATCATTGTCAAGGTCCTTGGTCGTTCGTTCCCATTCCTCTTTCTTCAACGGCACCTGCAGTCCATATGGGCCAAAACAGGAACAATATTCGTAACCAGTATAGGGCAGGGCTTCTATTCCGTTCGGTTCACGATGGAGCGTGACTATGATAGAGCCTTATACGAGGGTCCATGGATAATCGAGGATCACTATATCCTTGCTCGATGATGGAAAAGAGGCTTCGACCCTGATGAAGGAGACGACGTCCTAACCAATCTCCTGGTTTGGGTTCGCCTGCCAAAGTTACCCATTGACTAATTCGACCCCAGGATCTTGACTGACATTGGAATCTCCATCGCTCGCTACGTCAAGATGGATGCTGCTACTCGTGATGCGTCGAGAGGACATTTTGCTCGAATCTGTGTCGAGGTGGACTTGACCAAGCCATTAATAATTAAGTACAAACTGGAGAGGAGGGTCAGAAGGCTTGAATACGAGGGTCTGCAAAATGTATGCTTTAGTTGTAGAAGATTTGGCCATAATGAGGCCTCCTGCCCCAAAAGAGAAGTCCCGGAGCCCACGCCTGAGGATTTCCAACGCGCACAACGCGTGGTCTCACAAAGGAAGATTGAGGAGGAGATCCCAGAGATTTTCGAGGACTTTGGACCTTGGATGTTGGCTATGAGGAACCAACGTCGAAGCAACCCGCGTGAACAGCTTACTGGTAGGGATCCCCGTCGGGGTAATGGTCTGGGAACTTCAGCGCCAGCAAGCTCCGGTTCAAGAATCAATATTCTTGAGGACCTCAATGATGAGCTGACCAAAAACCCGATCGCATTGGCGACAACATCAAAGGAAGTCATGGTTGAGGAGATGGATACTAGCATGGAAGAGGATGAGGTTTCAAAGGAAGTGCAGGGGGATACAGAGAAGGTTGGGGATCAGGGATCTGTTAGGGTGAGTTTGGAGGCAGATAAAACAATCGGAGGGGCCGCATTTATAGTCGATAAACCTAAGAAAATGAGTACGTGAAAGGATGCTGGTGGGAGCAAACAGACAGTAGTGGCGAAGGGCGACAAACAAGCAGGAACGGGCAAAAGTCAGGCTAATAATAAATCCAAGGGAATGGAGAAGAGGGATCCTAAAAAGATGGATAAAGCTCAAGAGAAACAACGTGGGTCAGGCATCCAGAGTTTGAGTTGGCTTTCCTCGTGGAAGTCTTCTTTTTGCATTTCTTGTCTTTTAGCATTTAGCGCTTTGTGTTGTGTCCATTTGCTTTTTTCTTATGTCAAGAATTTTTTCTTGGAATTGTCGGGGAGCTTCTGACCTCGACTTTCTCACTACGTTTAAGGAGTTTTACAGGGGCCATAGACCGGACATCGCCATCATTACTGAGCCGAAGATCAGTGGTGCTTCAGCGAAAGATATTCGGGGGAGAAAGGGTTTTGACAAGGAAGAGTGCGTTGAGGCTAACGACGTTGCAGGGTGCATATGGGTCCTGTGGAAGGAGGGTGAGGTGATGATGGAGGAGGTTTCCCGATCGGCTCAGTCCATACATATGTGCCTCCACCTACGCAGCGGACAGACAGGTTATCTTACGACAGCGTACGGGAGCCCCGTCCAAAGCTCCAGGCGTGCCCTGTGGGAGAATATCAGGGAGCTGGCAATAGAAGTGGATGGGCCCTGGTTGCTAACTAGGGATTTCAACGCCCTCTTGGGGCCTCTGGAGAAGCAGGGTGGTGCGCCGTTTAACATGGCTCCTAGTAGAGAGTTCAAGGCTTGAGTTGATGAGTGTGGGCTTTTTTTATGTCAAGTTCATTGGGCCACGTTTCACTTGGCAACGGGGTTCCCTAATGCAAAGGTTGGACCGTTCTTTGTGTAATTCAGACTGGCTGCAGAGCTTCCTGGAGACGCACACTATCCACCTCCCGAAGCTCAAGTCGGATCATTGCCCTATCCTTTCTGGTTCTTAGCTCCTTGGCTCCTCCATGAAGATTTCCCTCGCGTTCTACAAGAAGGTTGGGCAGCAGGCTCAGAATACAATGAGGCAGTGACTGAGCTCACCTCGGCACTCGGCAAGTGGAACAAAGAAGTGTTTGGCAACATCCTAGTGAAGAAGAGGAAGCTGACAAACCTTCTTTCTAGGTTGGATGAGTGGAATGAGCGAGCGCCCTCCCAGGCCAGCCTCCACCAAGAGGAGTGTACCCGGAACGAGCTGATGGAAGTACTTAAGCATGAGGAGATCTTGTGGTACCAGAAGTCCAGGGAGAAGTGGTTCGTGCACGGTGATAGCAACACTAGGTTCTTCCACCTGTCCACCCTGAAGCGACGTTGCCGGAATTGCATTCGCAGACTCAAGTCAGTGTCGAATGATTGGGTGGAAGATTCTCGCCAGCTCCAGGTCATGGTACGAGAGTTCTACGTTGAGTTGTATTAGGAGGTGGTCGGGGAGGCGCCATCCCTGTTGGACTCATTTCCTTTGCTTGCAGAGTCGCTGGAGTGGCTTGCGGAAGACCTCAAGGCGGAAGAGATCCTAGCTGCGCTCAAGTCTATGGGGGCATTTAAGGCACCAGGAAAGGATGGGTATCAGCCATTATTTTTTCAGAAGTGCTGGACGACAGTGGGCCAGAAGCTTGTCCGCTACTTGACCGATTGCTTCAAAACTTCGGAGCTTGTGGGGACAGTCAATGAGACCTTGCTGGTGCTCATTCCGAAGACCTCCCACCCGGAGAGAGTGGCTGATTTTAGGCCCATAAGCCTTTGCAAAGTCGCGTACAAGACGTTTGCTAAATGTTTGGCCAATCGACTAAAGCCTTTGATGGTGCAGCTGGTAGCCCCAAACCAGACTAGCTTTGTTCCCGGGAGACATATACAGGATAACATCATTATTCTGCAAGAAGTTGTCCACTTGATGCACTCCAAGAGAAGTGGGAAGGGACAGATGGTGCTCAAGATCGACTTAGCCAAGGCTTATGATCACATTCGGTGGGGGTTCATCGAAGATACTCTGCAGAGAGTGGGGCTGCCGTCGACGTTCTCTTGAGCTGTTATGGGTTGTATCACTAGTTTGACTATGGAAATCTTGGGGGAGGGTTTGGCCACATAGAGGTTTCGACCATTGAGAGGGATTCGACAAGGATGCCCCCTCTCTCCGTACTTATTCATCCTCTGTATTGAGAGGCTTAGTCACCTCATAGAGGAGGCGGCAGCGGATGGGAGGTGGAAGCCAATCCAGCTTGTCCGTGGAGGTACGAAACTCACTCATAGTTTTTTTGCTGACGATCTTGTTCTTTTTGCTGAGGCCTCGCATGAACAGGTAAAGGTGATCATGGATTTCCTGGATCAATTCTGTGATGCATCGGGGGAACTAGTTAGCTAGGAAAAGTCACGAGTATACTTCTCCAAGAATGTCAAGCGGGATCAGTGTCGGCAGCTCGCAGATAGTCTCGGCATTCCAATGACACAGGACCTTGGCAGATACTTGGGGTGGACAAAAAGTTCGCGGGATGAAAAGCGGATAAGTTATCCCTTGCTGGGCGTGCTACCGTGGCCTTGACGGTACTCAATGCGATCCCGTCGTATGCGATGCAAATGTCGGTCCTGGCCGCTGCTATCTGTGAGTACATTGACAAGCATATTCGGGGATTCATTTGGGGCTCACAGCAGGGTCGGCGACGGATCCACCTGATCGACTGGGACACCATTTGCCGCCCGAAGGATCAGGGTGGGCTGGGGTTGAGAAGTGCTCGAGATTTGAATACTGCGTACCTGGTTAAGCTTGCTTGGACCATTCTTAAGCGTCCCGATGAAATCTGGGTGCGGATCCTCATGAAGAAGTATCTTAAGGAGGGACCTAATGGTGTTGTTAGTGCTCGCAGGAAAATTAGTCATTCGGTGCTGTGGAGAGGGATTAGGCGGGTGTGGGGACTCATGGATGGTGGAGTCTGATGGAGTGTCAGGGATGGCAGGAGGACTTCCTTTTGGCAGGACAGCTGGCTCGATAGTGGCGTGATTCTTGCGGTCCACACCACCAATGTCGATGACCATTTCGCCAAGGACTCGTGTGTGGCGGATTTGGCCACAAATAATGGTGAGTGGTGTATGGATATTATTGAGAATTACTTACCTCCTGAGCTGGCTTTGCAGGTGGCAGGAATGCCTGTTCCCAGGGAGGAGCTCGCTGAGGATGAGTTAGTGTGGGGACTGGAGCAGTCCGGTCAGTTCTCCCTCAAGTCAACATACCGGATGGTTGACGGAAGCGAAGCAACGTCTACATGGAGAAAGCTGTGGAAACCGCGTCCGTCACTTCCTATGGCCTGCAGCACACGGGCGCCTGCTGACCAACACGGAGCGCTCACTCCGTCACATCGCTGCCCAAGCTACCTGCCCACGATGTCGAGCCGAGGAAGAGACGCTTGATCATGTTCTTCGCAAGTGCAGCTTCGCGCAGGAAGTCTAGAGGGAGCTCCTGCCATCTATGATCTCTATCAACGACACTCGCAGCTTCTAGGAGTGGTTCACAGAGGCAGTTAAGTGCCCCCAGAACCAGGTTCGTTTTGATTTTACCTGTTGGTTTCGATGGCGTGCTCGGAATGGTTTCATTTTTTCAGACATTGTAGAAACCCCCCAACAAGTTTTCGCAAAGGATCCTAGCCTGGGAGGTCGTCGCTCAATAGAGTAGTACAGCAAACACAACCTTTCACTGGGGAGGTCGGGGTCGCGTCGAGACATGACCGTGAGGTGGAAACTGGCCCCGACAGGGTGGATCACAGTGAACTCGGACGGGTCGCTCCTGCAACGGTATGGGTCAACCACGGCAGAAGGTGCGCTTAGAGACTGGCAGGGTTGCTTGTTGGGCGCCTATACGATAAACCTGGGAAGATGTTTCATTACCCGGGCCGAGATTTGGGGGGTACTGAAGGGCCTGAAGCTAGCATGGGAGGCATGTCATCGCCAGGTGGAGCTGCAACTGGATTCCAAGACTGCACTCGCGCTGCTTCTTCACTCTGGCCGACATAGCCATCAACACGCCAACCTTGCCATCCGCTTTCAGAACATGCTGCGCAGAGAGTGGTATGTTCGGGTCACTCACCTGGAACCCATTTGATTGATGTTATAGACTCGGATGTTTGCCATTGGGCCCTTTTTGACTCCATGGGTGGGTTTACCATTCGCTCGATTGCTGAATAAAAGTTTTGGGTGCTAAGCACCCGTCTTTCACAAAAAAAAAAACTTCGACTCCAATTGCTGGAATGAGGCTTGTATTATGGTATGAATGTGATGTGGTATTTTGACTATTTTCATTTGAATGGTTTATGTAGTTGGGTTGATTTAAAAGGCGGGACTTAAGTTTGGATTGTCTTTAATGTCATGTTCTGTTTATATGTTTCTCATTATGAAGGTTTGTCTTTATGTAATTGTGATTATCGATTATGTAGGATCTATGCATCCATTACAAAAAAAAAGTGACTTCAACGAGAGGAGTAAACAGTTGTTAAAAGGCCATTTTCTCCCATTGAAGGTTAATAATGACGGGAAGCCTCTTCTCGTAATAGGCTTTGCCCCCATTAAAAGCCATTAACAACAATAAACTATTTTACATTTTTACCCCTCGTTAATACCTTCTACGAGGGAGCATTTCCTCTCGTTGATGATAGTCGTTAATACTAATTTCAATGTTTAATAAAAATATATATAAGGGATGTACTTGTAGACAAGAGAGCCATAAGTTTCGTTTTGGTTTATTAAGTAATAGTTGTTTTGTTAGTATTCCATTAGTATAGGCAGCAGTTGCGGTAGGTTGAAGCGTTTAATTATGAATAATTAATTGATTAAATTTGGTGAGAACACGTGAAAAATTGGGCTGATTTGCTAGCGGGGTAATACGAAGCTCGATTGAAAAGTGTTACCACCTAAGACATGCATTGGCTGCCTTTTGTTTAATAATTAAATCTGGAATCCAAACCTAACCGAATCAAGAAAACAAAAAAAAATTACTTCGGTGGCATTTTTTTCAATGTGACTAGACTCTATAGGCACGCGGGTTTCAATGTGACTAGACTCTATGGGCCGGCTGGCCGACAAAATTAATTAAGAGAATTATAAGCAGGCCCATCAAATAAAGAAAAGTCCAATTCCCTTATAATTTCTCCATCCACAACCAAAATCCTCAATTCTTACCCTTTCTGGCGTCAAAAACCTTCCCAAGGCCAAAACTCTGCCCCTTCCTTTCCTTTTCCCATAAAGAAACAAATAATAAGGTTGGTTGTGCATTGTGGCGCCGGCGCTTTACACAGCAAAAGTTCGCCACTATATTTGGATTTTCCCTCCAGTTCCCGAAGCCGATCCTTCCTTTCAAGTTTTCTTCACCGTACTGGGGTTCTCCCTACAATCATCTTCCAACTTGCGTCGACTGGCTATCCGTAAGTTCCTTGCTTTGGTTTGGACTCTGGCATGCAAATTTTAGGCAAACTCTGTAGTCCTCTGTTTCTGTCCCAATACTGCACTACCAAACTTATTCTACTCCTGCATCAATTAGTGGAAACTCTGCCAAATTTATTTTCTCTAGTGATACACGACGAGTGAGTTATTAAGGAGGTTTCTTGATAGATGTCTGACTCTAATTGTGACCATATCTGCAGATTGAACTGGTACTTGCGGGGAATTTCGTCTTATTTATCGAGTGATGACACACACGGCTACGAATCATTCATCAGGAAGGCAACCCCATCTAGGCATCTACTTCTTATTGTAGCTTTATTCGTCAGTCTTTGATAGTTTTTGTGAATTTGGTGTTACCAATGAAGTTCAAATGTGACTAGGTAGTAGAACTACTGGATGGCTAATCCTATTCCATAACACTTTTAGTTTCAATTGCTCCCATGAGGAAAACAACCTTGTCGCACTAATTTCCTTGCCAGGACTATGCAGATAGGCATAGTTTATTAGAGAGAAATGACTAATTTTGTCATGGTTAATATCTTTTTTGCTTTATATTCATGCAATAGTTAGGCTAAATTTAAACGAGGAAAAAGGGTTACACTGTCATGATTGTAAGTATCCTGCTTGCTGTACCGTCATGCAATAGTACGCTAGCTGATGCCTTATTTTCTGCAGGAGTATGTAACGATGCTCTTTGGAAAGAGCTTTGGCATGCATGTGCTGGACCTCTTGTTATCCTTCCCGGGGAATGCGAAAGAGTGTACTATTTCCCACAAGGCCACATGGAGCAACTTCAAGTTCCAGAGGGTTTAGAACATCAAGTGCCTCATCAATTCCAACTTCCATCTAAGATCCTGTGTAAAGTTGTTTCTGTGTGCCGCATGGTTGAACCTGAAACGGATGAAGTTTATGCTCAAATTGATTTGCTTCCAGAGTCGGATCAACCTGATGAGTTAACTAGTCTTGATACTCTCCCACCTGAACCTGCGGGTTGCAAAGTCCATTCCTTTTCCAAGATAATTACACATTCTGACGCTAGTTCCCATGGAGGGTTCTTTATTCCTCGAAAATATGCAATTGATTGTCTACCTCCGTTGGTTAGTATCTGGAAAATTTTCATTACAATTCTTATTATAGTATATGCATAAATTATCTGGTACTAACTGTATTATTTACCAACTCTAAACCAAGATATGTCCCAGCCGTCCCCTTCCCAAGTTTTGGTTGCCAGAGATCTTCATGGCTATGAGTGGCAATTCTGTCACATTTATCGAGGTGAGTTAGTTTGGGAGTTACAAAGACTAGCTGTGAACTCCGCTATGGCTTGTGTTGTCTTTGAAGATCCACGATTTTCCCATTAGGCTGTACTCCCGAATATCGATTTCAGTGATGTGCTAAGAATGGGGATTATCTTAGCTTCTTTTATGTGTAATACTGCCCTGGGGATTATATATTTTATATTCATCTACCTACTTGTGTGATGTTTATTTGGAAACTGGTTGTGGTTCTAATATGAGCATTAAAATATTGTGATAGGTCGACCCAGGCGTCATTTGATGAATGGGTGGAGTGTATTTGCTCGGGCAAAAAGATTAGTGGCAGGCGATGCCTTCATCTTCTTAAAGTACGTAATTTCATTGTTCATGATAATCTTGTCTTCGATTTCATCGGAATTGGGTCTAAAATTGTGGGGACTTTCGTGTGGGGTTTAGGAGGTATATGAGTCAACAGCCAAACAGGCTACCTTTTGTTATATCGAGGAAAAGTACACATATGGGAATTCTTGCCACAGCTGCTCATGCGATTGCAAATGGAACTCTATTTTCCGTCCTCTACAAGCCTAGGTTCGTGCATTTTGCTTCATTATCTAGCAACTTGTGCAGTTGATGCACTAGTTTTTATGCCTGAGATGCAGGTTTACTTTTCAGGTTTTGGTTTGAGCTTCTCTACAAAAAACATAACTTACTTGGCCATAATGTCTGTGAAATTTGTTTGTACTGTGGCTACGTAAATCATATGATGTATAATCACATGGTTTATATGACCTGACAATACTATGTGTTCTTTCTGTAGCTCAATCTTAGCTTCCATGACTTGTGGGCGCTTTCTTATTGATGGGAACTATCTCTCTATTTAAGTGTCTCCTTTTATTATGCTTTCACTTGGTATTACATCTCCCTAATTAAATAAGGGAACATATATATATAGTCATTAAAGGTGCTAGGTGCACGAGGCCCATCCTTGGTGCCTATGACACATCAATCGATTCATTAAAGGGCATAGCAATGCTTAGTTCCTTATCACAACATGTGATCCAATCGTCCCCTTGCCTACTTGCATTTCCTCTTGTTGATTTCATTTTCATTCTCCTAGAATTAGAAGTGAGGTGAAATAGTATTTCGTTTGCAGGCCAAGTCGGTTTGAGTTCATTGTAAGGGTTAACAAGTATCTCGAAGCTCGAAACCACCATCTATCCATTGGAACGAGAGTTGCGATGAGATTTGAGTATGAGGAAGTTACAGAGGAAAGGTCTAATCTCTTGAATTTGTTGGATAGAATTTGTGTTCCAACTACTTGTACGTTTAACGTGTTATCCTTGTTAAATAAACTACAGGTTCAATGGCACAATTGCCGGTGTGGGGGAAAACTTCTCGCCACAGTGGAATTGTTCTGAATGGAGATCCTTTAAGTTAATGAGCCTTCCTTTTTTTCATTTTATCTTTTGACAAATTGAAGGCTGTACGAGATATATTTTTGGGTTCTTGATCTTGGTTCTTAGTTTTAACGAAACAGAACTCAAAAGCCTAATCCTTTTCTCAATGTTTTGCTTGTGCTGTTCTCAAAAGGTGGAATGGGATGGACCGAGTTCAAGTTTGCTTCCAGATCGAGTGTCTGCTTGGGAATTGGAGCCAACTGTTGCAACTGCTCCTTCAAATGCTCGACCTACAGATTGGACCAACAAGCGTTCACAACCATCATATTTGCCTTCAATGAATTCCGACCGTAAGGCCCTTGGTTTGTTATTTCTTTATTTTCCCTTTCTCATTTCTGTTTGAATTGGCTAGTGTCAATAACTTGCTGTTTTCACCTTAGAGAATCGCTTCAAATTGTTTGGCATTCAACTTAATAACTTCAAAGGGTGTGATGTTCATGCCATTGAAGTCCGGGAGCAAGAACTTTCAAAATTGGTTCTCAAACTGCGAATCCGACTTGTTGATCTTGAAGAAGAGAACAAGAAGCTTCGTAGTCGACTTCGTGATGCTGTTGATAGCCAACCATCCTCCTCCACGATTGCTAACAACTTTGGTTCGCATGGTGTTGATGTTGAGGAAGCAATTAGAGAGTTGAAGAAACGAATGAATTGCGTGGAAGGCGAACTTGGTTTAGACTATTAAGTTGAATGATATTAGATAGTAGTGAGAGATGTATCCCGTTAGCTAGTGTTTCTGATTAGATGGTTGTTTGTGTTTTGTAGTGTTTGTGTTTAGATGGAGCCTGTATTCTGTATTAGACAGTAGTTTGTAACCTTGACTTGTTCCAATTTTAAATAATAAATGTTGTGTTTCTCTTCCAAAATTGTGTTTTGATCTAATACATAAAACGAGAAATTTTCAGACTTCGAAATTTTCAGACTTTGCAATACATAAAACCAGTAGCTATCCATTCACCAAACATCTATGAGTCAGAAAGATCCAAGCTTGGAATATAAGTAAAACCCGTCACAAAAGTACGTCTAATATTCGCAAAAACAGCCTGCAAAGTTAACTTCAATTAACAAAATCTAATGTTCATACACTCGCATACGTTCATCCCAACAAGTCCCTCACAAACATTATCTTCCAACCCATAAAACATCATCGTGTCTCCGTCATTCTGTGAAAGCATCCTCAATGCTGTGATTGTTTCAACCAAGTGAAGTGACGTATGAAATTGCCATGAGAATCCACCGAAAAAAAATTTGAGCCAAAGAGGAAAAAATTGGTTCAGTGACTTTCGTCAGTCAGATGCAAAACATCCCTTGGTTGTCTGTTTTAGTGTGATCTGTCCTCCAGAATCCCTTGGTTTGCTCTGCAAGTTTGCTTTGTGGAGCCATACATGTCACTCCCCAGTCTGCAATAACATGCACGTGTTTCAGAATGCATTAAGAACGGATAACAAAAATGAGATGTGCATGCTATTTCTTTTATAAAAGTGAACTGCATTAGCAAGGAAAAAGGAAACAAAAAAGTTTACAAGTTGAAGTACATACGGGCATCACAAGGTGTGCATACCCAAATTAACGAAAGGAAGAACAGGACAACAGCAAACAACATAAGAACAAATAAACTAGCAGCTGCAAACAAAACAAAATGCCACAGTCGACAACAAAAGTTCCACATAGGACAAAGCAGATCCGCAAAGAGACGAGCCAACAACAACAAGACGACCCGATCAGAGGAGCCAACACTCTCCATGCACAACCATGAGAACCAAACGAAGATCCGGATCAACCACAGGGAAGAGACAGTCAAGGGACTTGATCACTCGAGTCACATCTGAGAACTAATTAAGGACTAATTTTCACCAAAGAGTTCAAAGATCAACTCAAGAGAAGGAACATACCAGGTTCAAACCAGAGAGTACAACCTAGATGAGCAGATTATACGGGATGAAAGATGGCTCTTAACTTCTAGAGTATGGAGAATCCAGAATTGTAAACTTCCTCTACTTCCTCAACACTGAACTATGCTTAGATTCTCACTTTTTCTTAATTCAGAATAACAATAGACTACCACAACAGATAACAGACTTAAAAAAACAATGGGAAGTAAGACCACACACCATCTAATTGGTTGCGTTATGGATCTACTTGTAGATATCATATGCATGTCACATTGAAAAAAATAAACAAGTGATCCTATCATTTAGGACAATGGAATTTCATTTTCATTTGGATTCCGTATGACTCTTTATAACACAAATTCACAACACCAATACCATTTTGGTGTAACCAATCAGTCAAAGAGCCACTGTTGATCTGTCTACGAGATAATTCAGCAAAAAGTACGTTCTTTCTCTTTACATATTTGTCTAATTCAGCATAAAACTTTCTAATGGAAAGAACCATATTACAAAAAGAGGTGTGGAAAGCTCATATCAAAATGGTGGTAAACTAATTGTATATACTATGGCTTAAGAGAAAAATAGATCATGATAATTGATGGACGACAGAGAATGAGCGAATGATACCATTTTGACCAAAAACATTTGCACTAACAAAATTAATAACCTAGCAAAGTATAATCCTTAATCGCAATACTCATTCTAAACAAACAAGTTCCGAAACCAGACTCAGCTAAAAGTCTACAGTTGGAAATCCGGAAGTAACCACCAAAAGAAAAAGCAAAAGACCAGATGGCAAATTCTCTCGTCAAAACCAACCAATTGAAAATACTTTATTCTTTTGAAATGGTGACCTCATTTATTAAATAAACATCCATGAAAATATAGAAAGAACAAACAAAAAAGAGACAAGCAGCCCCGACTGCAAGCAATAGCAAAGAAGGCAACACTATAGAGAGAGAACAACGAATGAAAAGGAACGGACTGTCTCAGAGGGTCATAGAGGAGCCAAGCAAGGAAAAAACAACCCAGCAGCAACAAACCAAAACCGGAGAGGCTGACACTGTAGATTTGAAGCCACAATCGAGCAGACCCTGGAAAAGAAACGTCCCAGCAGCAGCAAACCAGATCGGAGAGGAAAAAGGAAACCAGATATGACATACTAATTATCAGCTCATTTCTATAATCAATGAAGAAGGAAAACATAAATAAACTCACAAGTTCATAATTCTTCTTCGGACATTGCTATTTTTAACGTCTGCTGTTGAAGTTGACCGATATGATATATCAATATGAGGTTGGTGAGGATCCACTACAAGAAATTAGGTATTTTGTGACGCACCCAATTTGTCATTTTAGTGTGCCAGTTTGTCACTTTTTGTCTAATGTGACAAGTGTTATGACAAAAAGGCTTTATCAGCTTTGCTCCGTCGTATTAGGTCTAATGTGACAAAGTTTAATTTTTAGGTTGTCATAATATTGTTCAGCCAACTTGACAATATATCGTTGTCATAATATGTTGTCCTACCATGACGAAAGATCTTGTCACATTAGACTGTTAATTTTGTCACACTTTAATACAACCAACTGACTGAACGAGATATTATGAGGGAACTGTTTGTCATTCACATTCGTCACTTTAAGCTGTAGGGCACGTGCCCTCAGAAATCACATATGATAAAATAATTTTGTCATATTTTATGTATTCAGTGACGGTCCAGTTTGTCATAATATGGATCTGCTTTGTCGTAATACCATTGTCATAAACTGATAATGGAACATTGTCATAATTTGTTCGTTCCTGTAAGCAGTAAATGTGACAAGCGAAATACACATAAAATATGTCATAAAACAAGCCGACAATCACATTCATTTAGAAAACGCTGAATATTCAAGGTCCTAGCTCCCAGCTTACAAAGACGCAAAATAGATAATATTCCTGCATCACATCACACACTCCTACATTCTGTTCGACACAACCAAATTGTCCAAAATGGGTTTGCAGCCGACAACTACTTATAAATAATTCCGTTCAGGAAAACATTCGCTAAGACGCAACCTCCTCAAGTCATATGAACACACGGTCGTGCAGGGATGCGTCCAAACCTGCAATTGCAATTTGAGAAGAAGCTAGATTGAGACTTCACATTCGTGCATAATTGTTCCTAACAGATTGACTAAGTTCTATAGATGAAATTCATGCATTCAATAATAGCTATGTACCTGGTGCAATCATTTCCTGCTGAGTTTGGCGAGGACGGTTTCCATACTCTTTTGCATCTTCTCTTGTGCCAAGCGCATTTGTTCCATCTTTTTCCCTTGGTTAGCCAAACGTTCATGTTGCAGATCAAGCTCTACTTTATGTTTTTCAATCTCCTCATCCCGAGCTTTAATCTTCTCATCCTGCTCTACCAGCTTGGCCTCCAACTCCTTGGTCTTACTTTCCGCCTCTGCCTTTGCTGCTGCCAGATCTGCTTCCAGCTGAACTTCTCTTGCCGACTTCCTCACTGCTTCTTTAGGTCCATACTTGAGCTTCCTCTGCAAGACCTTCTGAACGATGTCGCAACCCAGCAGTGGATTCCCATCTGCCTTTGCTTGGGCATGGAGGGCCAGCATCGCCTCCTATATTGCACCAAAATAAAAGTCAACACCCAAATATACAGGCCACAACAAGATGCAAAGCAAAATAAAAGTCACACCACAGTAACAGGAGGCGCATAATAAACCAGACCACAGTAATAATTGTTCCCTCTCAATTCAATCAACCTATTACAATAACTATACATCGAATATCCATTCATGTGCGTGGACTAGGTACACAATATAAGAGGAGCAGAAGGGCTTACATAATTCGCTTTCGGTTCCTCGCTCACCCAAGTACCATCACTTGCCTTCTTGTGCGTGTTGGCATACAGCTCAATGTCAACGGGCACCGCATCATCATCCTCAGCATCCTGGTCATCTACCTGCTCCGTTTGAGCTGCTTGTGCAGCCAGCTTCTTTTGCTCCTATACATGATAGTTCAAATGTTCAAACATGGTAAAAGGGTGTGGTAAGTGGCCTGTTTACCCCTAGTTTATGGTCATCTGGTCAAATTCAGATTTGTTGTTGTACAAAGATGTAA